TGTTGTATGGGAGTATTTTTATTTTATTCTGGTTTTTAGTATTTATTATTATAGCGGCAACAGAAATACATCATCTGTGAAAATTTCAACTGTTGTACTATCACGTTTCATGAGATACAGTTTGGTGACAGACAGCGGAGTCTTAGTAATAGGGTCCCGTTTTACCCTTTAGCTAAGCAGCAAGATTCAGGTTTTAAATATGAAGAAAACTTAGAATACTTATTTTTTTACCCAAAAAAAACAATAGAAAATGCGACATCTCTAGTTTTCAAATGTTCATTGTAAAAGGTATTTAAAAAAAGTGTGATTGCTGTAGGTAAATGGATGACATTAGATAACGCAAAGTTTTGGTACAAATGTAGTAAAAATTAAAACAGATAAGACGTCGAGATGCCGATATCGCACGGATGTCAACGTGTATCTAAATAAATATAAAAAAATATTAAACATATATTGTTTACGTTTTATATTTTGGTAAAGGGCACTAGTAGTAAATATATATCGTAGCAAATATATGTATATTTCTTTGTTATAAAAGTTTAAAGCAAATTACAGCCTATATTCGTGTCACTTCTCGGCAAATGCCTCTTATGTACAGAGGGTGTTAGGACAAAGTCCACCATGCGACCCCACTGCGAATTGGCGGACTTCACATATCTTCAAAATTTAATTTCAAAAATATGCATGCTCGTGATGTTTTCCTTCACCGACGAACACGATAAATAGCATTATTGTTGCCGGCAATGGGATTTGAACGCAGGTTACTGGAGTATATTGAATTCAAAGCAAGCGCCCGGATACTGAGCTATCACAGCTAAATTTCATGGGTGATTAACAGAACGTTATTTTTATAAGAAGCCGAGGCAGAGAGTACTTCATATTTAAAACAAATACAAAATATATTTTTTTATCTCTACAATACAAAGTGTAGAGTTTATTTATATATTCTTACTGTTAAGAAGTGTTTGCTTGTGAAGTTTCATTTAGTCGTGCGTTAAATTGGGATAACCATTTGAACAAAAAATTGTTATTAACATTAATTATTTTAAAAGGTAATAAATAGTCATTTGTAGGAGCAAATTGTAGAAAACGGTAAAAAATCACAGTCGGTGACGGACAAATCCGCTAACCAAGAATGTGACTATTGTGTAGGTTTTGACTTTTTAGCATCGTCGATATGTTATCTTCCTACTATTTTGCCTTCACTACGGTGATAATGATATTAATTTTCTTATAACGCTATAAAGGTGACGTCGTAAACGAATCGTCGAAATGTCAGTTTGACCTTCTATTAAGTACTGGGCCACCCCTGCTATTCAGCAGGCTCGTGTTTGATCTTTGAAAGGTGCCCTTTTAATATGATTGCCCGGTATGACGTGTATTTATTGTGGCAACGTTTTCAATGGAGCTGATTCAAAGACACAATAAGAAAATAATTCGCCATGAAAATCGAATGAAAGTTCGTCTCTAACTGCAAAAATAAGGTTTCAAATTAATGTTCGAGTTGTGTATTATAGCTGAAACAATGGGATTAAAAATTCGTTTTAATTAAATCGGAGTTTTGTATTACGTAATTGTTTCTTTTTATTTAATTTTACTTATGTCTAAACTCATGCTTTCAATGCAAAATGTCCTTTCACTATTAAGCCTTTATGTGTACATAATGTAAGTATTGTCTCCATTTATTTGAAAAGGAAAATGAACGAAAGTTAATTTATAAAAATAACTTTATTTTAATAAGATAACAATTTTTTCTAAAATTTGATGATTTTTAACAGCATACGACGGAAAACCAAAAGGTTTGTTTTTAATGTTCAAGCCAAAGGATTTTTTGTAATGAATGGTAACTTTTAATAATTTTAAGAACCAGGACACACGATATTGTCAATGTATTTTCAACATTCCTGCGGTGGAAAGACAATGTCTGCAATGATTTTGACGGCACGCCACATCAGACTACTTCCTGACGTCGCCCGTTGAATAGCGAAGGGAAGTTCTGAATTGCTTTGAGGTCGTTTGTTATGTATAGGTAACTCGTTTAGTGATGTGAATGCGATGTTATACTAAAGTTCTATAAAATTTCATTGTATCTTACCTTTATTTATCGATGCATCATATTTTGTTTTTTTTAATTCAAAGACTTCATGCACAGCTCTTGTACACAATTGCGCGTTAGTTATTTTTTTCTTTCTCTGTCTTTGTCTGGGTCTTTCAAGAGTGACTTCAACTGAGTTATTGCTCTGTTATCAATATAAAATTACGTGAATAAAAACCGTACGTAAAGTATATTGCGTACGCGAATTGACATAGTTACGAAGTATGTTGTGGATAAAGAGTGCACAAATTTAGATTTGTGTTACAAATGCATGCATTAAAATATTTTAGTTTACGATCATACTTTGAATGTCAAGTACATAATATTCCTTGTGAGAATGATCCGTGTGGCCATCGTGGTTAAACCTACCAAGAAAAAGCCACGTAACAGTCTCCGTTTTTGCACGACCCCAGATTGGCGTTAAGTGGAAGTGCTTCTGCGTTGCACCCTCCAGACGAAACACTGAAGGTTAAGTGATGCTTCGTGCCGGTCTTCTGTGTGGTCGTGGTACTAACCCGGACGGACCTGCCCATTCGTGCAACAGCGAACACTGTTGCGTGGTCCTACCACAGTTGAACCTTACTTGGAACATAATCCAGATATGGGACAAATATCTGTGTGTCACTGTCAACATACTTGTTTTTTTACATAAATATTTGTTAGCAATCAGCCTTCGCTAAGGACGTTTTCTTTTTCTTTCCATTTTTGTTAATTACATTTATGTCCTCTAATTGTGATTCCCGTAACAAAATTGAATTCGTAGCACTTACCCAATGAATTTAGAATATAATAGAAGAATCTTTTTGTACACTCCGCCGAATTTATATATAACTTGATTGTAGACTTACCTAAATAGATGTTAATTTATTCTACTATAAGTAATTGAGATTAATTATGTATAAGGCACGATGAGGCTGAAATGTTAGAAACGACGAAAACCTCCAACCTTAAAATAAAATTAAAAAAATACTTGATTTCTGCGGGAATTGAACTCCCGCCCCCGAAGAACTATCAACTGTGCCACTGAGGCAACTAGAAGAAATTATAATAATTATCTTTCAACGACAAAAATACAATAACACCTCGGGAAAAACCTCGTACGGTTTGTTTGTTTCGACACTTGATTAAAAAGTACATTTTGTCACGTTGTGTTCATTGGGTAAGTTCACGTCATGCATGTGGCGATACCTAATACTCGATTACGCGCCGACACAGATTACATTTTTCATTTTCACTGCTTTAAACACGCCTTCGATAGCTCAGTTGGTAGAGCGGTGGACTGTAGACGGCAAAAGACTGACATCCATAGGTCGCTGGTTCAAATCCGGCTCGAAGGATACTTTTTGTTTTTTATTAAAGTCCATTAAATTTTTTATTAAAGTATTGTACAACCTGCCAGTAAGTTACTACCAGTCGATTGCTTTGCACAGTTATTATTCCTGTGTATTGTACTGCACAGTTAGTGAAGTCTTTTCAATTTTAAGAAGATTGCCTATTCATACTGCCCGTATGAATTTTTAATTTAATAAACAATGTAAAGCAAACATAAATTTTTAAAATGGCCTTTACACTTCTATATAATGACTAGTTAACCCGGCAAACATTGTTTTGCCATATAAATTATTTGTAGGGTAGAAAAAATGTTTGGGGTGGACCCTTATCACTTAGGGGTATAAAAATTAGCTATAAACCTATTCTCATACGTACTGAATATACATATAAAATTTCATCAAAATCGGTCTAGCCATTTCGCAGGAGCGGCCATTTGACTAAAACTGTGACAAGAATAGAATTTTATGTATTAGATTAGATGATGAACTGAAGATGTTCGTTTTTTATTAGCATATTTACCACACTGTCTTCATATTGTGGGGGTTTGAATGACACTTTATGAATATTTTATTATTAATAGCCTCTTAATAATAAGAATCCTTTATGAATAATTAAGACTTCAAGAATAGAATCATGGATAGGAAAAGTTTTGATTCAAAATATTTTATTATAAGCTTAAATTAACTGCGCAATTTAAATGTAAATGGAGCAACAGTGTTAAGTTATATTTATATTTGCCTAATCGTACTGTTTTTCCGTAAATATATTTATTCGTAATTACAAAGGATTGTAAATAGTATATTATTTCTGATATCGTGGTTATAAATTGAAACCAATTATTGGAAAATTCTACGATAATATTGCAAAGTGAGAATTAAGTACATTCAGCCATTAGTTGCATAATAATCACAAAATTATGTTTTTTACGCGAATAATTAATGTACCAATTTTATTTAAATTAAGTTCGGAACTTTATAAAAAATGTAATGAATCGAATTAAAACAATTTAAAAAGTATCCTTCGAGCCGGATTTGAACCAGCGACCTATGGATATCAGTCATTTGCCGTCTACAGTCCACCGCTCTACCAACTGAGCTATCGAAGGTGTATTTACTGCAGTCAATAGTTATAATTCTTTCGTTTGATGTTACGCAATAAAACGCAAGGACCACGACCTCACAGTCGACCGGCGTGAAATGGAAGTATATATCTATAAGTATACATCTGCGTTTCGTCTGGTGAATGAGGTAGCCGGAGCCCACTTTATTAAATGGTAGCAACGCATCTGCAACCCCACGGGTGTTGCAAATGTCAATGGGTGGCGGTTATCATTTAATATTTGGTGAACCACCAGCTCGATTGCTATCTTTTCACATTAAAAAAAACCATTAAAAGTCCAAATATATTTGCACCTACATCACATCACTTACGGACGGTGTGGTATTGGAGCGGGTTTGAAATCTTGTAGAATGTTTCCAGTTTCTGCTGAAAGCGCCAGCTCTACGTAGAGGAAGAACGTTCAAATAGAAGACTGTCGTGATACAGAAATATTATTATATAATTTTGACTTTCATCTGGTGAGGAAGGGAGGTAAGAGAACTCCTTCCATATTAATTTCGGCAACGTCCTCCGGCCTCAGTGGCAGCTGCAGGCTCAGGCCTGTCTTGTTTCGAGCTTCGGGGTGATTCTTCATAACTGGGGCGTCGGCAATGGCAGGCGGTTGACGGCTAGGCGCCATGCTCTATCGCGATGATGATATTAAGGGACTACGGACTTCGATGATGTGGAGTGCGGTCCACGGCCATTGAAGGCCTCTTGACGGCTGCAAGAGTTACCACAGTGGTGATGCCCAAGTCTATGCTCATCGGTATTAAATTCATGGTATTAAATGAGGTTAACCGCTTTCTCTTTTTCATTTTATCCTAAAAAAAGGGATTCTGGTCGAACTTGTAACTGACAATTTCATGGTGGTCAGCAATAATGCTGTAATTGGAATATTATTGTGATTATTTGAATAATAGCCGGCCTAATAGTAAAAGCAAATTTAATGTCTTATTCAAACCTAGATTGGTTTGAATTAGGCAATTGAAACTTCGCTGATTAAGAATTTTTAAATAATTAAAAAAGTAGCATCTACTCAGCATTACTTGTTAAGCAGTAGGTTAATTAATAGAAGATATATCTTGGGTTGTATCACAACGATATATGATTTTAAATCGTTGAACACAATGTTTCATTCATGTCGTCCACTTTCACTCAAGTGACGTGTGTAGACTTGCATAAGAGGCTCTTCAACAAACTGGAACTGTTCATTTTGTTGGCTGATACCGTCATACCTTCGATAGCTCAGTTGGTAGAGCGGTGGACTGTAGATGGAGTTAAACTGGCATCCATAGGTCGCTGGTTCAAATCCGGCTCGAAGGATTGGTTTTTTTATCGGTATTAAAATAACTCTTTTTTAACTTTATATATGCTAATATTTTAACTACTTTTCATTATTTCTAAAGCCTGTTAACTGCATTTAAAAACATTCAGGTCATCTGCAACACAACAGGGGTTGCAAATGTCTTGCTAACTTATTAAAAAATAAATACAATACTTTAAGCCGGCGTTTTGTGAGGCCGTGATACTTGACCAAATGAACCTGTTCGTGGTAGATACGTGGCCCTTACATGAACGTGAAAATAAATAACGAATAATTCTTTTGAGTGTATTTGATGATTTTATATAAGGTATACTATTAAATATAAAATTCCTCATACAATTACCTAATGGTTTGAATAAAATTATACTACAAATATCTATATATAAAATCATTTAGGGATATATATTTTTTATTGAACCAAAATAACCTGGATTATTTGCGTGATTGAATAACAGAGTTTATTATAATAATAACTAGACTAAAACTAGTTAAGATACAGACATTTATTTTATTTTCTGAGTTATTAAAACCATAACGATTCTTCACAGAGAATAAAATCGGTCTCTTGCCTTCATATAGCTAAACTATTACTATCCACGTCGATCTTACCTGTCAATATTAGTAGGAACCACTGCAGCCATCACTAGGCCACTTTTTGCCCGCCATGGACATATTGGCTATCATATAATTATCTTAAACCACTTCATCCTACGAGTACTTTGGACGAACAAGTGGCTGACAGTTGGCCCCCAGCAAGTGTCAGCTAAGGTATGTTAGCATTAGTGTCCAGTCATAATCCATCCATTTTTTTACGTGGGAAAAATCCTTTATGGATCCTCCGCAGCCTTGAGGGTAGGAGTTATGGGGTACCCACCAAAAACCCACTTTGCACCTGCACTGTCGCTTTGCCGGGAACATGGGAACACGAAAACGCAAACTTCTGCGAACCCTGGCGCGACTGTGGCCTTCTCAGGCCTCCTATTGCCCGGGTGTTTAGACACGGCACCATTTGGTAGGACCGGTCCTACCAAATGGTGCCGTGTCGGTGCAATGAACAAGTGACCCCTCTCACGCCCTCCGCGGGGCAGCAGTTAGTATGTTAAAAAAATTTATACAACTTTATTTATTAAAAAGATTCCTTCGAGCCGGATTTGAACCAGCGACCTATGGATGACAGCTATGCACCAACTACAGTCCACCGCTCTACCAACTGAGCTATCGAAGGCTTGGCCTTTCACGTTAAAATCGCCTTAGTTATTCACATGCTCAACGTTTAAGTGAAAGTATCGCGTTTATAGCATACAGGTTTTCTTTCGTAAATCATGGAATAAATTCTGCTATCTCAAATACTTGATATAGTGTTCAGATAAGTTAGTTAATATTATGATTTGTATTCAAAATTGATGTGTGTGTAACTGAGTCTCTTGTAACAGGAGGGCAGATATAGCACATTAGTCTTTAAGTAAAAAAGTTAAGTCTAAAAGTTGCCAAACGAGCAGACGGGTCACCTGATGTTAAGTGAATACCGCCGCCCATGGACATCTGCTACACCCGAGGGTTACAGATGCGTTGACAACCTTTTGAAAATTCGGCTCCGGCTACCTCACTCACCAGACGAAACGCGAAAGTATTCGTCATACTTCCACTTGACGCCGGTCTTCTGTGAGGTCGTTGTACTTACCCGGACGGGCCTGACAACCCTGCCCATTCGTGCAACGGGCCTGTCCATTCGTGCAACGGTCGAGGCTGCTGCGGGGCCCTACCACCGTTAAGTAAACTAACAGTCTTTATATATGCCATTGCCTCTTCTTTACAGAGGGTATTAACGATAATAGCTTATCAACTGTCTCACCGAGACATTAAGATGATGACATAAATAGTTCATGATTTTGATTAAGGCTGTATTTTAGCTCTAGAAATTCCAATGGAGTTCGAAGGTACGTTGGTTCTTGTCGACGACTTTTCTAATGAAAAGGTAAGGAATAGTATATAGTTGGGTATTCATCTATTTCTCAAGAGAATTACATAGCAAATTTATTTTCTATGTAATTCTTTTTTTAAATCAAGTATGGGTTTATTTTCGAACTTGATATTTAGCTCATACAGATTTTAACCACTTTATCTTCCCACCAGTATATTGGCCGTAGCCAGCTGTCTTGTCATGGCTAAGTGCGGTTAGCTATCCGAGCTCACTCCAGGAAGGACAATACCTAATATTAAAGCTCACACAATTAAATTGAATATCATAAATAGTACCGAAAACCTACAAATATTTACTTCGAACGCGTAACATACAAGCAATCCTTGTTCAAATATAACATTATTATAGCAAGCTTGATGAGATTTCTGACAAAAAAGTTGTTATATGCAATGTTAGAAAATCGTTAAAAAAAATTCCTTCGAGCCGGATTTGAACCAGCGACCTATGGATGACAATTAACCGCCAACTACAGTCCACCGCTCTACCAACTGAGCTATCGAAGGCTTGGGTGAAACTCGTATAAAGTGCCTCACTTTATTCACTTGATCTACATTCAAGTGAATGTTGTTACACATACAAAAAACACAAATCTTCTTTCATCGCGCATACTAACTATGTGGTATTGGGATACATATTATTGTATATATTGCCGTATTTAAAGAGGATAAACTTGACAATTAGTTTGCGGTATTAATTGTAATCGGATTTGTTAAGAGGGGTGTAATTAGTTCTTGGTGAAGTGTGGACTTAAACTTTTTTGACCGATTATGAATTAACAATTTCATTTGAAAAGCTTGCACAACTAATTTAAACATGATTTCATGATTATGATTATATAAGTAAACCGTTATACCTTCACTGAAGAGAACATAATTAGTCAAATCAATTTGATAGTTAATAAAACTTTAACAAGGATTCTGAATAGACAAATGTTATTATATATACCAAATACTTAGGTGCAATAGCGAGGATTGTTGCGGGGTCTTCGCTGTGTGGTAGGTCCGTCCGGGTAAGTACCACGACCTCACAGAAGACCGTTTTATACTTCTGCGTTTCATTTGATGAGTGGGGTGGCCGCGGCTCACTTTATTAAAAGGTAGCAACGCATCTGTAACCCTACGAGTGTTTCAAATGTCAATGGGTTGTGGTTATCCATAATTAATCAGGTGGCAAACGAGCTGGCGGGTAACACCAGGTGAACTGCCAATTCGTTTGGCACCTTTTCAAATAAAAAAAAATCCAATAAATATATTGTTAATGGATAACAAACAAATTCGTGATTTCACCAAGGCTATGTCTTCTCGCCCTAGATATTCTGCTGCTATTCTAATGTAGGTTAATAATTGTCAGCAATTTCATTTATATGACTGATTAAGACTATTCTTAACTTTCGTCTCACAACGAAATAAAAGAAAATCAGCATAATTTTTTTTGTTATTTATGATAAGTCAGCACTTAAAATGGTAATTAACAATTTAATTGTTGCCGTCACTGGGAATTAAGGTTTCCAAAGTATATTGAATAAAATGCGAGTGACCGGACGCTGGGTTTTCACGGCTATAAAAATATGCTTAAATGAAGTACATAAAATAATTTTAAAAAATCCTTCGAGCCGGATTTGAACCAGCGACCTATGGATGTCAGTCATTTGCCGTCTACAGTCCACCGCTCTACCAACTGAGCTATCGAAGGTGATGGTGACTATAGCAGAATGTTGGTACAGATTTGTATTTGCGTAACCGCGGTGAAAGTAGCATGCGTGTTTCAACGTATTGGAATTAATTTTGTAGGCTAAAAATGTAGTTCAGTGTCCGCATAAGCAAATTTATATCTCCTTATGTTAAAGTCAATTTTTGCATGCTTTTTAAAGACGAGGTTTAGTAGATTAGTCTGTATTTGAAATTATGCTAAAACTCGGAAATCTTAAATTTAATGGAAATCGAGTAAGCTCTTTGGAGGTCTTGTCTTCGCATTTGATTTTAAGATCGGATTAATTTCATCATTACAATGTATTTGATGAATATAGCTACTTGCATTTGATTTTTCATCATTGTTCAAATTGCGAGATTTCAGTGTCCGGTGCTCCCTTCTAATACAATATACGCGAGCAGCTTGAGTTCAAATCCGGGTGCCTACCGGTGCCATGTGCATTGCTTATTGCAATTTTAAGTGCCGATTTAACACGTGCTCATCAGTACAGGGAAACATGGCAAGAAAACCTACATATTATACTTTCAATATAAGTTTACCCGAAGATATGTGCCAATCCGCAGTGGATTCGCGTGGTGGACTGTCTCTTAGTACCCTCTGTGTAGAAAACCCTTGCGCCTTTTTCAGAAGTTGGACACGCATAAAATTACCACCAGCTATAAGGAAAAGAAAATACGTCTTGTTGGTGAAGCATGATTAACTTTAGCTTGGGTGTTTCCCATTAATAATAGTATGAGAAAAAAAAAATA